ACCTCTTAAGCTTTCCTCCTGGGCCTTATTTTCAACATCTTTTATCAGTTTTTATGTCATTCTCTTAAGTCCTTTTTATTTGTCTGTATCCTTTGAAAAATGTGGTAGCCCAAACTAAAAGCGGCTCTCTGGATGAAGCTCAGCCAAATCAAACAGAGTGGAAAAACTGTCTTCCTTGTATGGCACATGATGCTCCAATTAACACAACCTAGCATAGCATTTGTCTTTTCTGTGACAGCATTGTCTTTTTCGCTTGTTCAGTATATTGTCCGTTATTACTACTAGTCCTTTTGCTGGAGTTTTCTGATCTAACTGGTTATATCTGTAACTTTGATCTTTCTACTCTTAAGTTGTTCCACCATCTGCTTTGAGTTTCCATACAGCCACATATGCTCCCCATCTTCATACTTATTTGTATGTGGCTTTGTGTTATCTGACTCATTGTCCTAGTGCCACCAGTGTTAGCCATCGGAGTAATTTTGCAATATTATCTGTAAGACGGACTTGTTCCAGTAACTGAATACTCCCATCAGCAATACCAAAGCCCTATCAGAAGCTTATCTCCACACCTTCTCAACTATTGCTATGGTGTTTGTAGGGATTAAAAAATTATATACTTCCTTGGGAAAGATTTCTTTTTACGTAGTTAATCAATGATCTATGAAAACAGCAAGGAGGCTAGAGCATAATTATGTAAAACACAAATTTTCTTATTTGCATGGGTTTACAATATTTTGATGTGGTAGCTCCTTCCACCCTAATCATAAAATCAAATATTCAGCAGTCTTTCACCAACTGGAGTTTCAAAACCTCATTTCAGAAACCTGGACAGGAGATGTTCCAGAACCAGGATATGCATGCATCTGCAACACACCTGGAAGGCAGACAGGAAGGAATGCAGCCACTATTGAATTCCAACCCAGCGACTTTGTAGGACTAGCTGGCATTTAAGCCTTGAGAGACCATTTTGTGTTGGAACTGCTACATTATTTCTCTTCTGAAACCCATATTTGGGGAGCTGCAGCTCAAGTTTTCAAGGCTTCTCTTTCTTCAGCAGTAAATGTGGAAGACTTCATAGCCCCAGAGTGGATCGAGGAAATATTCTTCAAATAAGATTTTTAATAGAGCAATATTTGTCAAATTTTGGAGAAACATTCAGATTCAGCAAAGTGATATTTTTCCCACCATAGGTTATTTTGTTAGGAGCTCTCTGCACACGCTCACGAAGACTCCTGAAGTACCTTCATTTATCTGCACACATCTGAGTCTTTCTAGGTGTTTTTATGGTATTCTTGATGCAGAGGATGGCTCAAAAATTCACTTTACTCTTATTTAACGTTTTATTTCTTACTTTTTTTTTTGTGCATGGAATAACGCTCTTTGCTTTTGCAAATATTTATACTGTTTATTAATTTCCTTTCCCCTCTTAACATGAACCGGAACAGTTTGCAGAGGTTTGTCTACCTCACTTGCTCAAAATGCATTCCCAGGTCCAGACAAGGGCACACTGTGCCTGCACACAACCCACACCAGGGCCTTGGGCAGCCTGCCCAAAAATGCCTGGCAGGGTCCTAACCACCTACTTACATATTAATACCACCTAAGAAAGCCCTGTGTGTTGAGGCTCACGGGATGTTGCACGTGCTTAAGAAGCGTGTTTTCTGCCCAGACATTTGCTGGGTGCAGAGGCGAGTCTGGCCCATGGGAAAATCATGGGGCACCCCTCAGAGAAAGGGTTACTCCTCTTCATAGAGGTGAAATTGCCAGCATGGTCAGATTCAGGAATTTTAGAGCAAGGAGTGAGATATCCAAGATATGAGATTTTACAATACATTCATATATGTATATACTTATACATGTTAATATTTATGATATACATTTCTAATGGGAGAGGTTTACTAGGAGAAGAGAGAACTCTTTCTTTTTAGTTTTCTTTTCCTTTATCTTCTTCTTTCTTTTTCTTTCTTTTCCCCTACTCCTTTCTCTTTTTTTTTTTTTTTTTACTTTTTCAAAGGAGAAAAAGAGAAAACAAAGTCTCTCTTGCTGTATTGTCATTCTGGAAGTACAAAGCAGCACTGAGGTTTCTGCAAGAAAATGTTGATAACTCCATATGGTAGAAAGTCCACGTAAACAATGACTTTGAACAGGCCACATGCTGAGATAGTGACACTAGGTTAGTGTAGCTATCCCCTCTAGCACAGCTGTAACTTATGCCAGCAATAAAAGCTTTCTGATGGTGTGTTATTCCTCAATTCAAAAAGAAAAAGAATTTTTATCAATAACAGTACTTTTAGATTAATATAGTTGCTTAAACATTAAAGCTTCTGCAGCGTAGCATTTAACAGCATACTTAAAATTAAAACCATGAATAAACACCCCACCTCAGATTGGCATTATGTTATGAGCCCTTCCTAAAACAGATCTGACCCTTATCCTACTACAGCCACTAACACTGCCTGTAGGAAAAAAATGTTTCCTTTTACAGTGGGTATTTCATACCCAATTCTCCCAAAAGAGAGTGGGAGTGAAACCCAGTGTACTGACTCACAGTAAAAATCTTTTCAAGTCTGAGGAAAATGTAACTCCCAGAATAAATTACTGTACACAACATTTTCTTTTGGGCCAGTTAGCCAGTTACTACTTTGCAATAATCATTCAAGTGCTCTTATCTCCTGTTCTAAAAGGCTTGCTTTGACATGTTCAAACATTAACTGCTTGTTACAGGAAGACTTACTTTCCAGGAATACAAAGATTCAGTCTTTCATCAAACTGTTCATAGCAGTACATTTACTCTCCCTGAAAAAAATTGTTTCTGTTGATATAGTTCAACTACACTGAAGAAAAAGTTCAGTTCTGAGCAGATGGTTAGGATGACTGACTGCAAGCCAGGGCTAAGAAAATACTAAATATTGCTGGTGTTAAGAGCACTGTAATTTCTCTATATGTCTCACTTCGGATTCTTTAGCCATTTTATTCCTCCTCAAAAAAAAAAAAAAAAAAGGAGTCAGGAAATATTTCAAGTTGTTTCTCCCCCACCCCCAACCCTTTTTTTTTTTTAACCATGTTTTTACAATCTTCTATTTATCATAGAATTTTCCATCATCAGGAGAACTACAAAAAAGTTTTCTTCCATGATAAATAGTTCTCCAGAAACAGGACCGAGATAGAAATCTCTCTCATTTTATAAGCATACAAGAAAATACTCTAATGATGTGTACGAGTGTCTTCAGTCTCAGACACTTCCTCTGACTGATTTTAGACAGCTAAAGCTTTAAGTATTCATTGGTTTCACTTTTGGAAGTTTTGTTCTTAATATATTAGGACTGATGAATAAGGCATGGGACATTCCACAATATCCCAGCTGGGGGATTATGCAGCTGGACAAAATTATCCCTATTATTTTGGAGCTTTAAATTATGATATATCTCTTGATAAACCTTCTTGTTAGAACTGAGTAGTAGAGGCATTATAAGACATAAATAGAGACATAATAGGACAAAAGAATTCCATGAAAATAATGTTTTAATTTTGAACAAATGTGCCTTTAACCAGAACGTTTGTGAGATGCCTTGTGTTTACTGCAAAATGGGAATAGAAAGTGATTTTTGAATTCTGAAATTAGATGGTTTACAATAGAAAATCTGACTTTGAGTTACTTCCACTCAGAGAAACACAACATGTGATGTGTTCTGCTCCATCTAACCGGCATAACAATATCGAACGCCAAATTTTGAATATCAAACACTCACAGTAAAGTGTTCATAAATGATACACCTTCATTCAGGGAATAATTCTGAATAATAAATCTAAGAAAGTCATAAACTGCTCTTGTACAATTCACAAATAGAAAAAGGAGATGAGATTTGTCTAACAAATTATTTGGAGTGAATTATACATCCAGCAGCTACCCGAGTCCCTAATCTGTATTTTCGAAAATTTATATGGGATGTCTTCTCTAAAGATTTTGCAATATAATTACCTAGATCAGCCATTCCCCAGCTGGATCCTCTATGGCAGCATCAGTGTGCTTATGTATTCCTGGATGAGACTGCTTTATACACTGTTTCCTTATGCCACTTCCATATTACCTTTCTAAGCAGATTTGTCACCTGTTCTGGGAGACACCGTGGCCTCCATTTCCTTCAGTGACCTAAAATAATTAAAAGCTAAATCTCCTGTCTTCAAGTACTTTTGCATATGCTTAAATTTATGCACATGATTAATTTCATTGATTTTAATGGCTCTATCCATAGGAGTACATTTAAGAAAACTTATTTGAAGTTGTGGGCTTTTAAGAAATCTGTCTTCTGATGTTACATGCTTCCTACTTTATCAGTAAATAGATTATTATTGCTTAGCAATGTCCAAAACATACACTACTAACCAAAGAACCTATCAGTTATTGATAATAAAAGTCCTTAATAAAATTAACTGACTTTACTTTCATTTATATAATTATTTTCAAATATACGTTTGTGATTTACATTGAAATATATGAAATCAGAAAAAGACTCGCGTGTTCAGAGTCTTCCTTTGCTTTTGAAAGGTACTTTGGGTAGACTCCCAAAAAAACCCTCATTGCAATTTACAGAGGTGCTTGGTAGCATATTTGGCTCTGAGCATTAAGAAAAATTGTATGTTTTTTCAGCCATCTACGGAAGTAACATTGACACCAGGATAAGTATAAATGAGGATGGCTGTAATGTATTTCACTGCTTGTAACCTATACAGACAGCACTGAGTGCAGCAGTCAGCTGAAGGAGCTGATTTTTGGAAGGGGGAGTTGGAAGGAAAATCTAAATGGGCTACCTGTTAAGAACAAGAAGCTTTTGATTTAGGAAATATTAAAAGTGAGTTCCTGGATTTTATTCCTGACACACACCCAATTAATATATTTTCCAAAACCAAGGCACCATATTTGCAGGATTTATTCAATATTAATGGAGGTATTAAAGGGGATAAACTACTACCTGTAAGATGCTTTTATTTTTTGTTCACAGGTTTTGTTTCAAAAATTCAGAAGATGTTTCTGACCTAATTGATCAAAAATGCTTTTCTTCTGGAAACAGTGCAAAATGATTTCTTTTCAAGGCAAATGACTGTGGGAACTGGTGAGAAAGACAAAGAAAGGTAATATATGCTAAAAAAAGGGCCAGAATTTGAGCTGGAAATAAACCTCCAGCATAACATGCATTTTGATATTGTTCATAGAACCCTTCAGAACTTGTATTTCTTCATTTGGATGCATACAACTAGTCAAAAATGCCTGTTACAAGTCTTTTCTTCCTGTTACTTTTCCAAATTTCTTGAAAAGGGTATTCTTCAAAATAGTTTATGAACTTCAGAACTTTCCACTTCTAGGAAACCTCACACAAAAATAAGGTTATTAATTAAATAATTTCACTAATTTAATAAAAAATGTTCAGAATAAATTATTTCTTTTTATCAGGGATTTTTGGGGAAATGTCCAGATATCTTATAATAGAGCTACTCAAAAAGTTTATTTTTATTCCAGCTGCAAAGTTCATCTACTCTCTTACTATCATAATTATATACATATTTCAATCACCAGACAAATTACTAGAAAAGACTAGGCTTATTGTAAGAGAATAATCATCTATTTGTAAAAGTATTTAATTTGAAGAAATTTTTTAGTAAAGTAAAAAACCACAAAAATCACTACAATGCTTTCTTACTGTACACGCATATATGCTTCATAAACAAAAGGATTGCCTTTCATACACTTAAATTGTGATTTAAAAAACCACAAACTATTTACACATTATCTCCTGGTTCTTTAGATGAAGTACTGAACAAAGAGTGCTAAGACCCCTCCCAACAGGTTGACCTTTCCCCCATATGATCTAACCTTACTTTCCTCTCTTTTCTTCTTTTTAATAACTGCAGGGACACCATTTATCAGATACAAGAGGAATACCTTACATAAGGACACATAACCCAGGACTCATTTTAATATTCATGAGGTCGCTGGCTTTATTAAAGAAATTCAAGTAGGTACTGAACACTGGATTGCATTCCTCCACGATATATCCTTTATCTGCTTGTTAAAGTGAAGCATTACTAATGCAGTTTTAGCTGCTCCTTCTTTGGAACCGAGCTCCTTGGTAAACATGTAATACTTGTTCTAGATTCTCCAGCATGCTTACCTACATTAACAACCACAGCTATTTATAGTTGCTACCAGGATCCTAAAGACATGAAAATTTCCAGACCCAGTATGTTAGCTTTGAACTCACTGAAAGAAACACAAAAATTCAAAAAGTTCTCCCCTCAAATCAAAATCTAGAGGTTCATTTCCCGCACTGGATTTTTTCTCAAAACTCTCTAGGAAAGGCCAGATTCAAAAACCATGAGTTAAAAAGGAACCCCTTACTGTTACTGGTTTTTTATTGGACAAATCTTGACATTTTCCAGTTGTATCTCTCTACAAAACAAGAGATCATTTTAGGAAAAAAAAGCAATTACTACATGAAAGGAAACAACATTCAAATGTTGTTAATTAAATGAGGGAGTGGATGTCAATGTTAATGTGTAGGTACATAAAAAGAACCTTATTTTGCAGATGTATGACAGGGCTCCCTGAAGAACACAAGTTTTTCTATATTAATTCCATGGTAGTTGAAAGCTACATAATCAAAAACACCTTCTAAGTTTGGCAGAAATATAACATTGGCTGTTTAAAATAAAAAGTCTGTATGGAAAGTTCAGTTTTGTTTTGGATTTTTTTTTTTTTTTTTTTTTTTTTTTTTTTTTTTTTTTTTTTTTTTTTTTTTTTTTAATTCCCCTAGGGTCATTGTGGTGAAGGAAATATTTTTATCTAGGCCTCAGGAAACGGTGGTCTGGCCAGTGACTGCAGTGCTGCAGATGGTTACATGCACAGTATTCACTCAGGGCAAAGCATTCCATCACTTATGTCTGCCTCTAAACTCCTGGATAACAAGAACTAATGTCAATATCCACCTGGAAATACCCAGTGTGGACACTACTACCCTGAAACAACCTTTCAAACTCAAGTGAGGCGAGTCAGAAATGCACAAGGCATTGGTGTGGATAAGCAGAACCATACAGAGTTGAATTTCAAACAAATATTCAGTGAGAGGCCATCACATACCTCACTTATATAAATGAACTAAAGTGACAAGGAACGTAGAGAGTTCTCTGATGGAGTCTTTGTGCTTTTCAGGGGAATACTTACAGCAGAGGCAGTGTGGCATTCTGAAGTTAGGAAAAATCAAGCAGATTTTCTGAAAGTAGTTTTACAAATTTTCACTCCTGTTTTCAGGACTTTAAAGGTATTTTTCACTTGCCCCTTCTAATACAAGGAAGTCAATTTCCTATTCCAGACCTGAAAATTGGTGCACATAAATCTGTAGATCTATCTGGCTTCTTCTGCTGTAATTCTACCTGTAATTCCAAACACCTTAAAAACTGGTTGGCTTTTTCTTGGCTTCTTCAGAAAATATGGAATGAAACTGTTGACGTCAGCTGTCAGGCTTAGAGTACACACAGTTTCTTAACTCCCAAAGGACCTTCCATATATAAAGTTCACTTATAACACCATTTATGAGTTTAATCAACACTCTTGTCTCTGATAACCATTCAAACACATGCAGGCAAATATCTTTCTGTGTTCCCTTTCTCTTCTGTACTGATGGATTTCATTTAGGAAGATACTTTTTGAAGGTGTTATATTTCAGCTTTTCTTTCCTTTTCTTAGTGTATTCCATTTTCAAGATACTTCCCATCATGTTACAGTTTATTTTTCTCTTCAATTCATTTCTTTAATTAGGCCCTTTTATACAAGAACCTCCCCAGTTTCCAAACCTAATCAATATTACTCGGTCTGTCACCTTACGCATCATAAAAAATGATAAAATGCACTTTTCTTTCTGTTGGTGGCTACCCACTATCATTACTTATAGATATAACCTTGTTTTCATTTTTGATTAACTTTGCTAGATGTCAGCACTCATCTCATATATAAGGCACACATATTTGAAAATACTACAGGAATTTCAGAGGAAAATCTTACAACTGGTCAACAATAAACTTTTTTGAGTGTGTGAGGGACATGGAGAAAGAGGAGAAATACAATTATAAGATTACAGGCATAATTTTTACAACTGGACAATACATTGAATCATTAATTCCATGCAAAACCACTTAAAAACAATATAGTGTGTTAAGAATGAATGATAAAATAGCCTATATTCTGGTTCACCTCTATTTGCCAAACCAAGACTTCCCACTTAAAAAGGACTAGTGTCTGGCAAATGGCCTGGTTATCAACATGTGATGTCTAGCTGGTGGTATGAGAAGCTGAGGTTTCACTGAAGTTGTGAAGTATTAGCAGCAACTTTGGTAGCAGTAGTGGCAGACCACCAAGAGTCTGAGAATCAGACTTTTTTTTACATTCACTTTGCCTCAGACTTCATTTTGTTTTCTTTGAACACTTCAGACAAAACTACTCAGTAGTATCCAACAATGATTCCAGGGAGTTAATCTTGTTTTGTATACATTGAAAAAATTCTGGCAGTCTTACCTTTGAAGCACTCCAAGTCTTCTGTGCCTGAGAGCAAAGGCTTGAAATTTTAAAAGGATTCATAACATTGATATAAATTCAAACCCATTCTAACTTGGACGAGTAAGGAACTTTTGGGAAAACATTTTCAACAGAGGTTTCACAGCGTCAAAGGCTCATGTATGTTGAAAGGGCCTTCAGGAGGTCTCTAGTCTAACCTTCTTCTAAGAACAAGGTCAACATTGAATTCACAAGCCAGGTTGTCAGGGCAGATTCCACAGCATCTCTGGGCAATCTACTCTAGCGCTTTAATTTCCTCCCAGTTAAAAAAGTTTTTCCATATATACAGACAGAATCTCTGCCCTTCCACTTAAGTCTATTGTTTCTTGTTCTCTTGCCATGCCCCTCAGCGATAGACTTATCTCTCCCACCTTCATAGCCTGTTCATGAGTGGCTCTGAGGTCCCCTGGCAGCCACCTCTTCAGACTGAATGAAACCCAACTGCCAAAGATATTCTTTACAGGAAATGTGCTGTAGCCCCTGATGACACTTATTTTTGTCTTGCTTGCATTTGCATTTGGTTTGCAAAACCAAACACAGTATCTGGATGTGGCCAAGTATAGGAGAATAATCATTGCCTCAAAATACCGCTAACACAATTAATACAGAACTATAGACGTGCATCGGCTGGAAGGGTCCAACCTTTCATTTTGCTAAGGAGCCCAAGACACCATTAGCTTTCCTGACTACCAGGGCACATGAACTGCTGGTTCATGTTTAGGCTGCTTCTGTCCAGAACCTTAACAAAGCTGCTCTCCAGACAGTCATTTCCAAACCTGCAGGGAGTCAGTCCACACACACACCTGCACATCTATCCCACTGTATGGTGAACTGGGATGGGTATTTAGCAAGTAAGCAGAATGCCCTTACCCTCTGAGGTAGGGAGCAAGGCAATGGGGATAGCCAGTAAAATCAAACCAGAAAAGGCATACAAATAAGTCAGATGGAGATCTTCATGGGTAGAAGAGAGATCAGGACAGTTTAAGGGTCTCTAAGCCCAAATAAAAATTCTGAGATTGTTACTCTGAACAGTTAATTGACAAAGGATTTCATAACTGAGTGAAAATGGACTCAAGTTAAAGGACCACTTATACGGAAGACATTGAACCAAGAAGGCTGTGGCAGGTTGGAAGTTAGAGAGAGAGGGCATCAAGGTATGGGAAAATGTCAGATGACATCTATAAAAACAAATAATATGTGAGTACATAATGAAATACAAAACATTATTCCCATTTAATTGGCAATTTATTTTTTTTTTAATTCTTGGCTATGTCATTAGAGCTTTTGGTTGTGCCTAATGTGTATCATTACAATTTATTTTTTTATTTTTATTATATTTATTTTTTATCATATACTGTTATAAGTGGATGACTTTAAATTCCACATAAAACTAAGAGTAGCCTATTTCTCCACCTTAGTTTTATTGACAAGTAATGCAATATCAGCAGAGCTCTCTGAAGGAAACTCAAAACCTCAGAGGCTGTTCAGCCTTTGGCCTTCTTTTTAAAACGGAGATTTTTTTTTTAAAAGGAAATATTGAAACAAAGTTTTTACCTTTCAATTTCCTCCTTGCTGGAATCAGGAGTCATAATCTCTGGCTTCTTGAAGAGCAAAATTTGTTTAGACCATTCACAAAGGTTACTATTTTATGCACATGAGTAATGCAGCCTCTGTAAGTTGAATGTGATGTTATGTCTAGAAATCTTATGCATAAGATTTATCTTCAAAGATATTTCTGAACTTAACTTATGCATATCTTTGCACTTAAATTTGATTTGATAACTTGTCAAACATATCCAATTTGTTTGTGTTTTTCTGTTCTCTTCTCCATACTGGGAAGTACTTTTTACAAACCTCACATTGGTAAAACAAATATTAAGTTTATTAGCACCATCCACAGTTCTGTGACAAGAGAGAAAAGAGGGGAGGG